GAAGGAGGGATGATCCACACACACATCCATTCTGTCAATGCTTCAAGTGCATTTTGGGTAGCCACAACTAGGGTTTCTGTGTGCTGTTCGAATCTACTTAGTAGAGGAGGGGACTGAGGGGGGAGGAGAGGGAGGAAACGGGAGGAGACTGGGGATGGGGAAGAGAGGCTAGAAGAGATAAGAGACACAAAATGAGACAAGAGAGAAGAAGAGACAGATGTGGGGGTGGGGCAGGTGGGGGAAGCGCAAAGCCTCACATGAGTGCTGGATCCAGCCAGACCTGAAATCCCTCCCTTGGGCATTCCAGTTATGTGAATCAATCCCTTCCCTTTTTAGTTTAAGTCTGTCCGCCCTGGGCTGCCCTTACCTCGGGTCACCCTGAAAGCTGGAGGAGCACTCTGGTCCCGACAATCATGTTGGGTTTACGGTGTCACATGGGAATGAAGCAGAGAGACAGGGACCCTGGGTTGGTGAGAAGGGACAGCAGGTGCATGAGCCACCAGCTCCTGAAGACGCGGACTGCAGCCTGTTACACCTTTTTCTTTTTTTTAAGTTTATTTATTTATTTATTTATTTATTTTGAGAGAGACAGAGCACGAGCAGGGAAGGGACAGAGAGAGAGGGAGAGAGAGAGAGTCCCAACCAGGCTCGGAGCCTGATGAGGGGCTCGATCCCACAACTGTGAGATCATGACCTGAGCCAAAAGCATCAAGAGTCAGACGCTTAACAGACTGAGCCACCCAGGCATCCCTGCAGCCCTTGTTATACCTTTAATTGGAGGGGGGAGTCCCATATTGCCTGAATTGGGGGACATTTTCCTCCGGATGACTCCAGAAAAGGAGAGTCCTTGGGGCCAGCTGCTTGGCTTCCTGGGATGCAGAATTCATGCTGTATGCACAGCAGCCAGAGGGCTGGTTCGCAGGTTTTCCCTCCCGGCACTGGGCAGGCTGGGGGCCACCGGGCGGGCGGGCAGAGGAGGTGAGCTGGGTAGCACTCCATCTGCACAGCCTCCGCCCGGGGTGTGAGTGGGAGCGGGGGTTGGACCACCGTGGGCATCGGGATTAGGAGCTGGCTCCAGGGAGGAGGCGGCCCCAGCAGATGCCTGCCTGCCCGCCCAGCCAAGCCCGACTCTGGTTTCTCACCTGGTGGGAGTCCTAGTGGAAGGAAAAAAAAAAAACAAAACCCAAAACAGAGGAGGGAAGATACTCTCAGCAACTTTTCTTGCAAAGGGATGCAAAGATGTGGGAATAAATCACCCAGGTCTCTGCTGCTGCGGCACAAGCCCGGGCTGTTCTGCTTCGGCACCCCGCGTTAGGCAGGTATGATGACATCGCGTGCATCCGGACAGTAGGAATAAGAAACTGAGGGGCACCAGAATGTGCTCTAGGCTATGGGAAGGTCATCCACCGGGTTGTTCCTGACCCTGACTGCACCTCAGAATTACCTGGGGAGCTTAAAAAAAAAGCACTGATGCCTGAATTCGACGTGCAGGGAGTCTGGGGTGTGATTTAACGCAGAGAAGAAGACACGAATGGAAGCTTTAAACTGCAAGCATCCTATAAACATGAGTCTGGGTCCTGACTGCACCCGGACGTCACGGGGGCCAGACTGTGACACTGGCCAGATTGTATAACCTCCCTGATCTGCAATTACCTGTGTAACGGGGAGAGTGGGGCAGCGGCACCGTCTCCAAAGACTTCTCTTGCTTTGAATTCTCGTGCGTCCTCTGAGCGGCTCACCCCTCATCAGTCGTCAATATCCAGTTCAAGTATCATTTGCTCTGAAGCCCCTTGTGAGCACATGCAGTTCCCTCTGCCTGGGAAGCTCTTCCTCTTGCTTGTGGCAGAGGCCACAGTCTCCTTGTACTGCTTCTCTTCTTCCTTTAGTACTAGACCCCTGAGTGACAACTGGGCACACAGCTACGCAGAGCAAGACTATATTTCTCACTTGATTGAATTGTGGCTAATGGAATGTGAGCCAGGTGATGTCCACCTTCTAGGTCGTGGCTTTAAAGGAAAGAAGCATGCTCTCCATTTTCCTTCCTGCTGGCTGGAATGTTGGTATGATGGCAGGTGCTAAAGCAGCCATTTTGGACTCCCTAACAATGAGGAGCTGCGCTATCAGTCCTGGACAGAGGTAAGTTACCGAAGAGAGAGAGAGAGAGAGAGAGAGAGAGAGAGAGAGAGAGGGAGAGAGACTTTCATCTTGTTTTAACCCCTGTTAATTTGACCCTTGGTACAACATCCAAACCAATACCCTAACTAACACACCGCTCAATCCCTGGCTAATATCTACTTACTCTTCAAACCTCAATAAAAATATCACTTCCTCAAAGAAGTCTTCTCTAACATCTTCCTACCTAAAATAGGTCCCCATTCATACCCACGCCTTCATCCAGTATGCTAAGCATTTTGTATTTAAGATCTTGGCGGGGGGGTCCTCATGAATCCCATTTTACAGATGAGGAATTGGAGACACAGAGAGATGGTCTCCTAGGCCAGTCCGATTCCAGGACCCATTAGTACACCGCCACAGATGCAGGTGTGCGGAAACAATCACTTCCTTAGTGTTGTAGAATTCAAGTCCACCCAGACCCTGGTCCTTCTGGGGACTGCTCTCTCTCCGTGGTTGTGCTGTGGTCCCGGGATCTTGCACCATGCCAAAGTGGCCCCCTGTCATTGATCCACACAGGTGGCCCTGGAGACGCCCACCATCTTGGTGTATGTGACCCCTAAGGCTCCAGACTTCTCTGCTGCCTGTGTGCCTCGTGCTTGGGGCTCCAGGAAGCCTGGGTTCAATCCTAACTCTGCCCCTTGCAAGTCATTTCACCTCCCAGGGGCTTCGGCTTCCTCACCTGTAAGAATGGGGGTTCCAGGATCTGCGGTGCTGTTTGCTGGGGTGCACCATCCCACTGACTGCTCCCCGGAGTCCGGCGTCCCTCTCACTACGCTGCTTGCGGTGGAGAGCCCTCGATTCCAAGACCTGCGGGCCTCTGCTCCCACCACCTCTCTTTCGCCCACCCTCAGCCAAGGGAAGTCTGTTTCTGCTCTGGGGTCAAGCCCCACCCTTTCTGCTTCTGCCTCGGGGGCGTCAGACTGGCAGAGTAAGTCCGTGTGACTTTGTAAGGTAAGCCGTTTGCGTGCTGAACAGCCATAAACGAATGCGACAAAAAGAAAAGAAAAGAAAAGTCGATAAACGAATGTGACGAAAAGAAAAAAGTCGTCCTCCTTCACCTCTCTCTCCCCCCAGCTCCTCACCCCAGATGCCAACATTGTTACCAAGTCCAGCTCAGGTCCTTCCAGAGACGATCCACGCATAGCCTAGCAACTAGTTCCATGCAGCTTTGCTCTCCCACGTGGGCGCTATTATTTAAACGTTTTAAGGGAAATTCCACACCTCCGCCAAAGTCCAGAGAACAGCATAACGACCCCACCCTGTGCCCATTGCCCAGTTTCAACCACCGCCAACTCATCAACTCATGACCAGTCTTGTGTGCTGCGTACCCCCACCCACTAGATCAGTTTGAAGCAAATCCTAGACACTTGAGTATTTCATTTGTATGTATTTCATAACTGACCTCGAATAACTAAGTACTCTTTTTTTTTTTTTTATTTTTTTCAACATTTATTTATTTCTGAGAGAGGGAGAGAGACAGAGCATGAGCAGGGGAGGAGCAGAGAGAGGGAGACACAGAATCGGAAACAGGCTCCAGGCTCTGAGCCATCCGCCCAGAGCCTGACACGGGGCTCGAACTCACGGACCGTGAGATCGTGACCTGGCTGAAGTCGGATGCTCAACCGACTGCGCCACCCAGGCGCCCCAGATTTTTAAAAATTTATTTATTTTTGAGAGAGACAGAGGGAGCGAGCAGGGGAGGGGCAGAGAGAGGGAGGGCAAGACAGAATCCCAAGCAGGCTCCGAGCTGTCAGCAAGGACCCCGATGTGTGGCTTGAACTCGTGAACCATGTTGACCTGAGCTGAAACCAAGAATCAGAAGCTTAACCGACTGAGCCACCCAGGCGCCCTTGAGTTTGTAGATTGCATTATTTATTATTATTTTTTAAAGGACAAAGGCATGTCTTGCCTTCTTTTTTTTTTTAAGTTTATTTATTTATTTTTGAGGGGAAGAACAGAGAGAGAGGGAGACCCAGAATCTGAAGCAGGCTCCAGGCTCTGAGCTGTCAGCACAGAGCCTGATGCAGGGCTCCAACTCACAGACCGCGAGATCATGACCTGAGCCGAAGTCGGATGCTCAACTGACAGAGCCACCCAGGTGCCCCTGAGTTTATAGATTTAAATATACTTGCTATCTTTCACCCTGTTTCAGTTCTCCTATCGGATACTCACATCATTCCCTCATTGGCCTATGGGAGACTTTTTTTTTTTTTTTTTTTGGTTTATTTGTTTTTGAGAGAAAGAGAGACAGAGCATGAGCAGGGGAGGAGCAGAGAGAGGGAGACACAGACTCCGAAGCAGGCTCCAGGCTCTGAGCTGTCTGCACAGAGCCCGACGCAGGGCTCGAACCCAAGAACTGTGAGATCATGACCTGAGCCGAAGTCGGACGCTCAACCGACTGAGCCACCCAGGCACCCCATGGGAGACTCTTGAACTTGGCACCGTTTGCCATGGCTCCTGTCGCCGTGCTCCCCAGGCATGCTTACTGCTCCAGACCTAAAATCAGCCGTTTCTCCAAGGAGCCATTTGGCCACTAGGGTTACACAGCTTTCTTTTTTCTACACAAACTCTAGCAAACAAATGAAGCCATTCTGCAGTTTCACAACAGGTGCATCTTAGTCCCCATAACTGACTTTGGAAAACAAAAGCTCTGAGGATTTCTTCTACTTTACCCCCTGCTATGCCCCACCCCCAACCCCCCTCAGGCAGTGAGCAACAGGCTGACTTTAGTGTGAATTCAGGAAAGAAGAAGGCGGGGAGACCCAGGGAAAAAACCCAGGGTATGTAAAGCTCATAGCACGCGAACTAGGTGATCAGATAAATGATTAATCCCATCCTTCTGATTTGTTCTTTCCTCCTGTCTACAAAAACATACCTTTGAATTCAATAATTCTTAGCAGCGTTAATACGACTACTTCTCATTGGAGAGGAGGAAAATGCAGAGAACCAACTAGTTACATTGTAACGCACGTTGCTGAGAAATGCCTCTTCTGGTGTTTGTGCAGCTCCTGCTCCCAGAGCCTCCGGGAGCTGGCTTTCCTGCCCCAACATGCGATTTTGCAGCAGCGATGCACATTTGAATCCTGGAAACTCCTCCGTGCTCTCCCTCCTCTCTCCACACCCGGCCCCTCCTCCTCATCTTGTCAGAATCTAAAGTTCAGAAAGACAAGTTCATGGAACTCAATGCCAGGAAGCCTTGAGTAATCTCGCTTTGCATAATACAGTTCTTAGGGTTACTTTTCAAATGCCAAAACGCCTTGTCATCTAAGTTTCTTTCTTGTTTTTGATAAAGAAGTGGGTACTAAGGAATATTGCTGTGTGGAAGGAAGAACAGTGATCCAGGTAAGGTCATTGATTCTTTTTTTTTTTTTTTAATGTTTATTTATTTATTTTGAGAGAGAGACCACAAGCAGGGAAGGGGCACAGTGAGAAGGAGAGAGAGAATTCAGAGCAAGCTGTAGTCTCAGCGCGGAGCCTGACACAGGGCTCGATCTCCCGACCGTGAGATCATTACTTGAGCTGAAATCAAGAGTCAGACGCTCAACAGACTGAGCCACCCAGGCACCTCCAGGTCAATGAGTCTTTGAATCGATCTTTTGTATATGGTGTGAAATAGGGATGCTCCTTCATTCTTTTGCATACGGATATCCAGTTGTCCCAACCTATTGGTTGCTTGTCTACCTATGTACCTGGTGGTTCCCCTCCCTGTATTACAGCGTCTAGGTGAACCTGTTAGATAAATGTCTCTGGGGTGCCTGCCTGGTTCAGTCAGAAGAGTGTGCGACTCTCGATCTTGGGGTTGTAGGTTCGAGCCCCACAATGGATGTAAAGGTTACTTAAGAAAACAAAATCTGTTCAGTGTCGTGTTCCTTGTGTGCAGTCAAGACTGAGATTCACTTTACTGAATCATTAATCAAAATTATTTCACAAATTATTCTTATGATTCCTTTTAAAAAAGATACAGCAGCAGCAAGGGATGTATCTCGAGGTCCCGCATAATTCCCTTTCTACTTTGAAGTCCTCTGATGAGGATAAGGGACGTGGATGCAACACGGTTATTGTTGCTCAGTAGCAAATGGAGCTTTAGTTTCACAAAATGTGAAAGCAACACTCCTAACCCTTTAAAAAATAAATCTGGGGGTGCCTGGGTGGCTCGGTGGGTTAAGTGTCCAACTTCAGCTCAGGTCATGATCTAATGGTTCATGGGTTTGAGCCCCGTGTTGGGCTCTATGCTGACAGCTCCAGAGCCTGGAGCCTGCTTCGGATTCTGTCTCCCTCTCTCTCTGCCCTTCCCCAGCTCATGCTCTCACACTGTCTCTGTCAAAAATAAATAAACTTAACAAAAAGAAATTAAAAAAAAATTCTTAAAAAAATTTTTAAATAAATAAATAAATAAATAAATAAATAAATGAAATATTTTTTTTTAAATTTTTTTTTTTTCAACGTTTATTTATTTTTGGGACAGAGAGAGACAGAGCATGAACGGGGGAGGGGCAGAGAGAGGGAGGCACAGAATCGGAAACAGGCTCCAGGCTCTGAGCCATCAGCCCAGAGCCCGACGCGGGGCTCGAACTCACGGACCGCGAGATCGTGACCTGGCAGAAGTCGGACGCTCAACCGACTGCGCCACCCAGGCGCCCCTAAATGAAATATTTTAAAGAGACAGAGACACGCATTTTGTAGGGGAGAAGCAGTGCTGAACCCTGATTGTGGTGGTGGTTACACGAATCTGTGCACGCGTGATAGAATTCCATAGAACGGAGCACACACACAGAATGTGTGCAAAAGCTGGAAAGTGGACGCGGTTTGCAGTTCGCTGAAGAGCATTATAGCAGGTGTTCATTTCCTGGTTTTGATAACAGACAACATTTATTTATGTGAGATGTTATCACTAGGGGAAACTGGGTGGAAGGTATTCGGGAAATCTCTGTACTATTTTTTTGCAACCTTTTGTGAGTCTAAAATTATTTCTAAATAAAGGCTTTATTGAAAATGGGGAGGAGGGGCGCCCGGGTGGCTCAGTTGGTTGAGCGTCCAACTCTCGGCTTCCACTCAGGTCATGATCTCACGGTTCCTGGGATAGAGCCCCATGTTGGGTTCCGTGCTCACACGGTCTCCCTCTCTTTCTGCCCCTCCCGCCCCTCAAAATAAATAAACTTTTTAAAAAAAATGGTGAGGAATGCAGGCTCAGTTGGTGGAGCCTGCGACTCTTGATTTCAGGGTCCTGAGTTTGAGCCCCATATTGAGTGTAGAGATTACCTACAAAAATAAAAAGTACATTTAAAAAAGTGGGGAAAAACTGAAGGATTACTTTGGGCGTGGGGTTTTTGAAATAAACAAACAAGACAAAGAAAAAAAATAGCAACCTTTCAATGGCTTCATGCTGCCTTCAGGATTCAGTTCAAAGCCCTCAGGATGGCATTCGAGGTCCCTCCTGATCTGGTCTGACTACTGTTCCCAGATCATTCAGGGTTTGGAACACACAATCAAAGTGTCCCATCAGTCGACACCCTAGAAACCCAGGTGGTGAAAGACAGTTAAGAGTCGTGTTCCTCGAGGCCAGTCAGAGAGCTGGGCTGGGTCAGAGCCTGGGTCATGGGGACAGCCCATCAGATCCACAGTTCTCTTTTAACACAACATTTTGTAACCTCACTTTACTGAAAGAAAATCTGTGAATAATGGAGACTTTCTCCACACATAATTTACAAAAACATTATAAGGCCCCAACTACATTCTAAAAAGGAAAAACTTAGGGCCATCTGGGTGGCTCAGTCGGTTAAGCATCCGACTTCAGCTCAGGTCATGATCTCACAGCTCATGGGTTCGATCCCAGAGCCTGGAGCCTGCTTTGATTTCTGTGTCTCCCCCTCTCTCTGCCCCTCCTCTGCTCACTCTCTGACTCAAAAATATAAACTTTAAAAAAAATTAAAAAAGAAAAATTAAAAGAAAGCCATTTAAAAAAATAAGAAAGCAAGCCATTTATAATAAAAAGAACATGCATTTTTTAAAGAGATGAGTTTTTTTTAATGTTTATATATTTATTTTGAGAGAGAGAGCACGCACGTGAAAATGTGAGCAGGGGAAGGGGAAAGACAAGGGGAGACAGAGAATCCCAAGCAGCCTCCATGCTGAACCGAGCTGACAAGGGGCTCGATTCCATGAACCATGAAATCATGACCTGAGCCAAAATCAAGAGCTGGATGCTTAACTGACTGAGCCACCCAGGTGCCTCAAGAACATGCATTTTTAATTTTTTTTTGAGAGAAAGACAGAGACCGACAGAACATGAGCAGGGGAGGGGCAGAGAGAGAGGGAGACCCAGAATCTGAAGCAGGCTCCAGGCTCCATGCTGTCAGCACAGAGCCCGATGTGGGGCTTGAACCCATGAATGTGAGATCATGACCTGAGCTGAAGTCGGACACTTAACCAACTGAGACACCCAGGTGCCCCAAGAACATGTATTTTTTTTTAAGTAAACACTTAGAGTTTATCTATCTATTTATTTTAATAATCTCTATACTCAATGTGGGTCTCAAACACATGACACTAAGATCCAGAGTCACATGCTCTTCTAACTGAGCGAGCCAGGTGCCTGTATAAGTAAATGCTTAGCCACAACTGTTCTGAAAGACTTAAGAGAAGCAGTCAGATGCTCCAAGTGATAGGGATGTGTCTTGTAGCCACTCAAATATCACATTTGAGAAAATATATATACATATACAATATAATATATTTTTTAATGTTATTATATATTTCTATATCTCATGTTTGGGGATATGAGTTTCCAAAATGGTGGACGACTCTTGGTAAAATTCCCCCCCAAAAAACAAAACATAACATGATCCTTCCAGGATTTAACTTTCTGGAAAATTCCCGATATAATGAAACAGTACAGGGGCACCTGGGTGGCTCAGTCCGTTGAGCGTCCGACTTCGACTCTGGTCATGATCTCATGGTTCATGAGCTCATCCCCTGCATTGGGTTCTCTGCTGTGAGTGAGGAGCCTGCTTTGGATCTCTGTCCCCACCCCCTCTCTGCACCTACCTTGCTCTCTCTCAAAAATAGATAAACATTAAAAAAAAGAAAGAAACAGTACAAAAGATTCTTTGTGATTATGCATACAACAGAAGTAGGTTCAAAGCTTATAGGATTTTTTTGAGGTTTTTTTTTTTTTTTTTTTTTTACCACCTTCATGAAGGGTCAGTGGGGTGTTCAGAAGTCACATAGGGGACCCAGAACAAGTCTTCATTTTGTGGCACTGTCTGATGCATTGCAAGACATTTCCCATCCCCAGCGGGTGCCTGCTGAATACTGGTGGTGCCCCAATAACTATGGAACCAAAAAGGGCTCCTCAAATTTCCCAAATGTTCCCTGGGAGGGGCAGCCACTTCTCATTGAAAATCAGTCTTTTAGAGCTGTGCTTACCCCATATGGGAGCCAAGAATCAACCTAGCCCTTGAAATGTGGGGAGTCCCCTAAAGTGAGATGTGCTGATGGTATAAGAAACACACAGGATTTCACAACTCAGTGTGAGAAAGAAGACAATGTTTGTGTCCTCCCCAAATTCATAAGCTGAAATCTTGCCTCATAATGTGATGGTGTTAGGAGGTGGGCCTTTGGGAGGTGATTGGTCACGAAGGGTAGAGACCCCATGACTGGGATTAGTGTTCTCATAAAGGGGACCCTGAGAGCTGTCTCTCCACCAGGTGCGGACACAGAGGGAAAACACCGTCTGGGGACCAGTAAGGCCCCTCTCCAGACACTGGATGTGCCAGCGCCTTGATCCTGGACTCCCCAGCCTCCAGAACCGCAACAAGTAAATGCGTATAAGCCCCCCAGGCTGCGGTATTTTTGTCATAGTAGCACGAACGGACTAAGATAGCACATATGGCTCCAATTCTGTCTCACTTCTTTTTTTCTTTTTTTTTTTTTTTTTTTTTTTTTTTTCTTTTTTGAGAGAGAGAAAGAGAGACAGAGCATGAGCAGAGGAGGGGCAGAGAGAGAGGGAGACCCAGAATCCGAAGCAGGCTCCAGGCTCTGAGCTGTCAGCACAGAGCCCGACGCGGGCTCGAACTCACAGACCGCGAGGTCATGACCAGAGCTGAAGTCGGACGCTTAAGCGTATGAGCCACCCAGGCGCCCCCGTCCCACTTCTTGTTTTCTTGCTCGGGTAGGGAGAGGTCTGGCCTTTGCTTCTTTGTACCTTGGGATCTGAGGCCTCCGAAGATTTGGCGTGTCTGTAGAGGCAGGTTAGGAGACACTTCTACAAGGTGGAGAAGAAAGGAAGGAGCACAGGGGAGGCTGTGGTCATCAGAGTCCTGGGGCTCTCCCAGTTCACCCAGGGAACTGACCCAGCAAGGGTGTTTCAGGGCCTCCTGGAGAATGGCGTGTAGCTCTGGGAGGGCACCAGCAGAGCAATGTCCTACTGCTATGGACGGGCACGGGAAAGATGACAAGAGGTGCCAGGTGAGATTAGCTGGGAGACCTGCCAGGAGCTGCAGAGAAAGCCTCCGCATCAGGAGACAGGCTAGCTGGACGACGCTGACCGTTGTGGGGCACGGGAGCCCTCAGCAGCCTGGCATCCCCACACTCTCAAGTGGGAGCAGAACAGAGATCTGGAGTGGTCGGCAGGCTCAATGCACGAGGGGGGCCTGAACACCAAGCAGGGGGAAGGGGCAGGATGCTCTGAGTGCCCCCCCCAAGTCTGGCAGGTGGCCTGAGGAGGGTCAGATAAGCATTTGCTTAAGACAGATGATGCTGGGGCACCTGGGTGGCTCAGTCGGTTCAACGTGTGACTTTGGCTCAGGTTATGATCCCACGGTTCCTGGGGTTCGAGCCCCGCATCGGGCTCTCAGGCTCTGTGCTGACAGCTCAGAGCCTGGAGCCTACTTCGGAGATTCTGTGTCTCCTTCTCTCTCTGCTGCTCCCCTGCTCATGCTCTGTCACTCTGTCTCTTAAAAAATAAAAGAAAAAAAAAAAGTTAAAAAAAAAAAAAAAAATGACGCTGGCTGCAATACGGAAAGCAGACAGCAGGGGGCGAGAGGAGGCCAGCAGAGGTCATCCTGGGATGTCCGCGAGCAAACAGGCCGGACACCCTGAACAAGTGCGTCCTGCTCTGGACGCCTCCACACACAAACGCCGATGTAAGATGTGGTTGTGGCCCTCGAGGGTGTTACAGCCACGTTGGGCCACGAGACACGTGTTCATTGTCCCAGTGCTAAAAAAAGTAAAAGATGAGTGGGTTTCAGCAGAGTCTTGCTTCAGCATGAATAAACAGTCAGACAACAGGCGAATCTGTTGGGAGGATGTGCTTTAACCTCTGAGGCCAGTTGTCCCTGGCCACAGGCACTGACCTCCCAGATACCGTGTCTCAAGATTTTCCTGGAAGGCAGTATGGTGTGTACCTGTAAGGTCACAACCTTTCACTCCTGTTAATTCACCTTTCAGAGCTTCTGTTTCTTCGTCCATAAAATCAGATCGCCATTTCCACCATAGTGTGGGTATGAGGATTCGCTGAGGCAACGCATCAGAGTGCTTAGCCCAGTGCACTCAAGAAATGTTAATGATTCTCTTTATGGGCATTGTTTTCTTTTCTCGAGTAAGGGTGTAATCCATATATATTATTTTTTAATTTAAAAATGTTTTTTAATCTTTATTTTTGAGAGAGAGAGAGAGAGAGAGCATGAGCAGGGGAGGAACAGAGAGAGTAGACACAGCATCCGAAGCAGGCTCCAGGCTCTGAGCTGTCAGCACGGAGCCCGATGCAGGGCTCAAACCCACGCTCTTCGAGATCATGACCTGAGCTGTAGTCAGACGCCCAACCGACTGAGCCACCCAGGCGCCCCTATATCATTGTTTTTTTGTTTTTTTTTTTAATTTTTTTTTTCAACGTTTATTTATTTTTGGGACAGAGAGAGACAGAGCATGAACGGGGGAGGGGCAGAGAGAGAGGGAGACACAGAATCGGAAACAGGCTCCAGGCTCTGAGCCATCAGCCCAGAGCCTGACGCGGGGCTCGGACTCACGGACCGCGAGATCGTGACCTGGCTGAAGTCGGACGCTTAACCGACTGCACCACCCAGGCGCCCCATCATTGTTTTTTTTTTTAAGCTTATTTTTATTTTTGAGAGAGAGAAAGAGAAAGCACAAGCTGGGGAGGGACAGAAAGAGAGGGAGAGAGAGAATCCCAAGCAGGCTCCGTGCTTTCAGTGCGGAGCCTGACATGGGGCTTGATCTCATGAACCGTGAGATCGTGGCCTGAGCTGAAATCAAGATTCGGACACTTAACCAACTGAGACGCCCGGGCGCCCCTACATGTATAATTAAGTTATTGTTCAAGAGTACCTGAGAGTAACGTCTACATCTCAGTCATCTGTGTCTGCCATAAACCTACTTCCGGGAGGGAGAGTGGAGGAGGGAGCCTGCCCCTGTCCACAGTGCTGAATCTTCCTGGTGTGGGTGTGGCCTGTGATGCCTCCTCTCCGACCCATTCACATCTCGCATGGCGTTCTCCGCCCAGATGCCCTCTGGAGTGATGCGACACGGTGTCCCTGATCTCCCAGACATGCTAACGTGTAGTGAAATAGCACACACGGCATTATCTCGCTGTGGAAAGACACACGTTGTGTGCACGTTCATTTTTGTAGAACACACATTGGGCACAACTCATCGAACAAGTTTATAGAAATAAATAGAAATTTATTAGAATTTATAGAAATATATAGAAGGATGTATATCAAACTGTTAATGGTGTTTGTCACGTTACAGCGGGATTGGTGACGGCGAGAGCTTTGCTCTTAGTGACTCACGCTCTTTCGTGGTGTTCTTTTTATTGTTTTAACGATAGCCTCTACATTATTTTTTTTTTAAGATTTTATTCTTTTTTTAATTTTTTAATTTTTAATTTAAAAAAAAGTTTTTTTAACGTTTATTTATTTTTGAGACAGAGACAGAGCATGAATGGGGGAGGGACAGAGAGAGAAGGAGACACAGAATCGGAAGCAGGCTCCAGGCTCTGAGCCATCAGCCCAGAGCCCGACGCGGGGCTCAAACTCACGGACCGCAAGATCGTGACCTGAGCTGAAGTTGGACGCTTAACCGACTGAGCCACCCAGGCGCCCCTAATTTTTAAATTTTTAAAAATTTATTCATTTTTCAGGGGGAGAGAGAGACAGAGACAGAGAGAGAGAGAGAGAGAGCACAAGCAGGGGAGGGGCAGAGAGACAGGGAGACAGAGAATCCAAAGCAGCTCCAGGCTCTGAGCTGTCAGCATGGAGCCTGACGCAGGGCTCCGATTCACAAACCGCAAGGTCGTGACCTGAGCTGAAGTTGGACACTTAACCAACTGAACCACCCAGGTGTCCACCAATAAATTCTAATTTTCACTGACCACTTGCTATATCACAGGCACAGTGCTAAGTACTATAAATACATTATTTTGCGTGACTCTTTCTCTACACAGTAGATACCATTATTATCCCCATTTTACTGATGAGGAAACTGAGGCCATTGAGATAAATCAACTTGCCTGGTATCTCGTGCAGTCAGCGTGGCAGACTATAATTTCCAAAAATGGTCACAGCAATATCTCCGGTCCCATGTGCCTTTCCAGAACCTTCTGGCTCCCTGGCAAGAAGCAGAATCTATTTCCTCTCCATCTGACCTGAGGCAGAAGCTTGTAACTGCTTCAATTAATACAATACGGGGGAAGTGATGTTAGTTAACTTCCAACACTAGGTCATGAACATGATACAACTTCCAGCTGTTTCACTCTCTCTCTCTCTCTCCTCTCTCTCTCTCTCTCTCTCTCTCTCTCGGCATGTTTGGCCCTGCAACCCAGCCATGACGCTGTTTGAAGACCCAAACCAACCACGCAGAGAGACCCATGTGGAGTGAAACTGAGGACCAGCCTACATGCAGCTTCGACCACCGAACGTGGGAGTGAGGGAGCCTTCAGGCGTCTTCTAGCAGAAGCCCTGGATAAGGAGGAGCAGACGCAAGTCCTCGTGGCTGATGCGCCTTCTGAACTGAGCCACGGCACCTGGGAGCAAAGTACACAGCGTCCCAGTGGCAATAAGTTGGGGGGCACTGGAGCGGCTAACACGTCAGGGGTTGAAATCGGGAATCCCCGGCTCTTTCCGCTCTACTTCCGCCCTTTCCCAGCTCTTGCTACTTGCTGAACCACCAGCAGTGTTCTCAGCAAGTCGGCAGGCTCCCATCTCCCAGCCTGGGGACCTCTGACTGATCTCAAGAGCAGTCATTTATATTTGGAGAAGAAAAATCAGAACCCAAACACAATTGTTCACAGAATGTGGAAGAGGCGCCCCTGTCTTTGGTGAGAGCTCTGGTTCTTTCCAGAAAGGAGAGGCTCCAGCCCGCGGATGGCCCACCCCCATGCCAGAAAACCTGAGTCAAACAAAAAGTAAAGAGAACGTCTGTTCGTGCCTGCCGCCCTTGTCGTTTGCTCCGATCACAAAGGCTCCTTTTTTGTTGTTGTTGCCGTGCTTAATAAGCCTCTAAGCATCTGCCAAGGCAAGCATTCTCTTTTCTATGCCCACCTTACCTCCCTCCAAAACAGTGGGGCTTCTTCCTTCCATTTGGTGTAGCATTAAAAAAAAAAAAAAAAAAAAAATTGCACTTAACTTTTCCTGGGCAGGCCTAGAAGCGCATCTGTGAGCCTTCAGGCTGGAGAGCCCAGTTTGGCTGAATGTGAATCTGTTTTCTTCCTTCTGGGCATGAAGATCCATTAGGATGCATTGCAAGATGGGAAATGAAAAAAGAAAGAAAGAAAAAGAAAGAAAGAAAGAAAGAAAGAAAGAAAGAAAGAAAGAAAGAAAGAAAGACCCAACCATGTCGTCCTAACCTCTTTAAAAATAATGATAATTAAAACAACAACAAAAAATAAGGATAATTGAAACAGAGAATGTATTCATTTATACACCACGAGGGAATTCAAGCGTAGTTTGTCTCTGGACGAGGCTGGACCCAGCAGCTCAGATAATACCATCCGGACTCAGAATCTCTGCATTCGTCAGCTTTGCCTTCTCTGTGGTGCTTCATTTCCTGGCTCCTCTGGGTGTTACATGGCCACTTCACTGAATCAAATGTAGAGGAAGGCAGAGTTTCTCTGTCCAATAGCTTGAAAAGACATCAAGGAATGGGGACTTGTTTTCTCTGGCTGACCCTTCATGGGTCATGAGCCCTGTCCTCAACCAATCAGCATGGCCCGGAGGAGTCCACCTGTTGGCTTCCTTTAGGTCAAAGGCTGTGAATCTGACTTCACAGGAGACTGATAACACAGAACACAAGTGGCCACTACCGGATGGGATTAGGATGCTCTGAGAAAGACACGTTAAATATCCACAGACTCTCATAGAAGATTCCACTCACAGAAGATGATGCGGAAATGGTCCTTATGAACACTTGAAAAGATGCCTGAGCTCACTGGTAATCTGGGAAATGCAAAGTAAAACATCAAACAAGAAATAACATTGCCACCTCTCCCATCCAGGGGTGATAAGTGAAAGCTGTACCCAGCTAGCGTTGGTAAGAGTACAGGAACAGGGGGTGCCTGGGTGGCTCAGTCGGTTAAGCATCCGACTTCGGCTCAGGTCATGATCTCGTGGTCCGTGGGTTCGAGCCCTGCATCAGGCTCTGTGCTGACCCCTCGGAGCCTGGAGCCTGTTTTGGATTCTGTGTCTCCCTCTCTCTCTGACCCTCCCCTGTTCATGCTCTGTCTCTGTCTCAAAAATAAATAAACATTAAAAAAATAAAAAAAATAAAAAAAGAGTACAGGAACGGGGTGCTCATACAGTGACAGTGGGGTGTCAACTGGGGTACCCTTGGGGGACAATCTAACAACACATTCTGAAGGTTTAAGTCCTCACTTCTAGAAATGTCTGGAAATCGCTGTGAGTGCCCAGAGACAGGTATATAAATGATGATGGCCAAAGGATTGTTTGTTAAAATGAAAAGAGTGGAAACACCTTAATGGTCCATCCACAAGAAATGGACACATTACAGCATCTTTGTGCTCTGTGCCGCCCTCGGAGTGAGGGAGGTAGGCCCAGTATGAACTGACATGGGATGCTTTCTAAAATGTATCAAGTGCGGGGGCGCCTGGGTGGCTCAGTCAGTTAAGTGTCTGCCTTCGGCTCAGGTCATGATCTTACAGTTCGTGGGTTCGAGCCCTGCATCAGGCTCTCTGCTGTCCATGCAAAGCCCGCTTCAGGTCATCTGTCCCTTTCTGTCCCTGCCCCTCCCCTCCCCATCCTCTGAAGTAAATAAATAAATAAGCAAGCAAGCAAGTAAGTAAGTACAATGTATCAAGTGCAAACAGCAACATGCAAACAATGCAGGAGGTATGATCCCATTTGTGGAAAAGAAAATATTTAAGAGATGGTCTGGGTGGCTCCATCAGTTAAGTGTCTGACTCATGGTTTCGACTCAGGTCATGACCTCAGGGTTTCATGAGTTTGAGCAGTGAGTTCACAGGCAGCTCGGAGTCTGCTTGGGAGTCTCTCTTTCCCTCTTTCTCTCTGCTCTTCCCCCACTTGTGCTGTTTCTCTTTCAAAATATATAAACTTAAAAAAAAAAAAACTTTAAAAAATTTCTAAAATGAGAGAGTAGAATGCAATGGTCATGTGTATAGGATCTGGGGCCGGGCTATCTGGGTTCGAATCCCAGCCCCTCGTCTCTGAAGCCATGTGGCTTTGGGGAGGTTACCTCACCCCTCTGGGGGTTGGCATTTCCTCCTGTGTAAAAGAGAGATTATGGAATTCGTGGCATATGGTCGTGTAGATTAAATCAGTTCATCTACGTAAATTGCTTTCAGCAGTGCCTAACATGTAGTCAGTGCCCAGTTGGCGTGAGCTGATAGCCCTGTGCACAGATCCACATAAATGCAGAGCAAAGAGGCTGTAAGGATGTGCTCCAAACTGTTGATGGCAGAAGCTGATGGCAAGGAACTTCGTACTTTGCTGTACATCGATTTGAATCGTTAGAGTCTTTCACAAAAATAGGTTTGTGCATGACCACAGTAATAGTTTTAACCCCCTGCCCTCAGATCCCCCACCGTGATGTCCCTTCACAAGCTTCCTTTTGTGGAATACTGTCATTCTGTGAGGGACAGGGCAGGGTCTAGCACGGCCCAACCCCCACTCTTGTGGGGATGGAGAAAGGAAAACTGCCAGAGATTAAACCACTTGTCCAGCCTCAAGCTTTGACTCACTGGCCAGACGGGCCCACGCCCAGAATCCCGTTACCTCCAACTGCCCCCCCCCCGCCCCCCAAATCTGCCTTGGGCCTCAGGCCTCAGCAGTCCATGGTCTTTATGCCCTTAAGTCACATTTTCCTCCTTCTTTAGGCTGAACAAACTGGCCAAATGGCCCTCACTCCAAATGTCCTGTTGTAGCAGAGCCTGGGTGGCTCAGTTGGTTAAGCTTGATTTCAGCTCAGGTCATGGTCTCATGGTTCATGAGATTGAGCCCCACAGCGGGCTCTGTGCTGATGGTGCAGAGCCTGCTTGGGATTATTTCTCTCCCTCCCTCTGCCCCTCCCCTACCTCTCAAAATAAATAAAGTTAAAAAAAAAAAAACAAAGAGGGGCACCCGGGTGGCTCACTCGGTTGAGTCTCTGACTTTGGCTAAGGTCCTGATCTCGTGGTTCGTGATTTCGAGCCCCACGTCAGCCTCACTGCTGTCAGCGTGGAGCCCACTTTCTTTGGATCCTCTGTTCCCCGCCCCTGCCCCCCCCCCTTCTCTTTAAAAAAAACAAAAATACATAAACATTTTTTTAATGAAAAAAAAAAAAAAAGAAAGAAAGGTCCTGTTCTGTCCTCTTGCCAAACCTGGGAAGCAGACAATATTTCCTCATTTTTCAGCTGAGGAAATTGGAGAACAGAATGGTCACGTAGCATGCCAAGGGCACACAGCTAATAAGCAGCAGAGCTGGGTTTCACAGCCATCTCTTTCTGATGTTAAGGCTGTGTTCTTTTTTAAAAAGTGACTTAATTAGTGGGTTTTTTTTTTTACTATACTTATTTTTATTTCCATGTTTTGCTAAATAAGTTTAAAACATTTTTTTAAATGTTTATTTATTTTTGAGGGAGAGAGACTGAGCAAGGAAGGAACAGAGACCGAGGGAGACACAGAATCCGAAGCAGGCTCCAGGCTCTGAGCTGTCAGCACAGAGCCCGATGCGGGGCTCCAACCCACAAACCTTAAGATCATGACCTGAGCCGAAGTCGGATGCTTAGGCGACTGAGCCACCCAGGCACCCCAGGGTTTTTTGTTTTTTTAGATTTAATTAGCGTTTTTTTAATTTTAATTTTAATTTTAATTTTTGAGACAGAGAGAGACAGAGCATGAACGGGGGAGGGGCAGAGAGAGAGAGGGAGACACAGAACTGGAAGCAGGCTCCAGGCTTTGAGCCATCAGGCCAGAGCCCGACGCGGGGCTCGAACTCACGGACCGTGAGATCGTGACCTGAGCTGAAGTCGGAGGCTTAACCGACTGAGCCACCCAGGCGCCCCTTAATTAGCGTTTTTAAATAAGTTACTCCCAGCACCATCCATCCAAGAAAACCTAAAAGCTGGACTGCTGTCTGAGGTTTTACCGCTGCCAGCGTTCAGACCTTACAGGGGCCTCGGATTCTTGCTTCCAGGATCTACGTGTCTCTCTGGGCCCTGCTGGCCTGGACCGAATGTGTGGTTTTGCCTGGATCAGACTGTCCCAGCCAAGAGGGCAGAGTCAAGATGAGAAAGGAGCCTTGGACTATGTTGAGCCCCTGGCTTCACCCCAGGGAAGAGCCCAGCGAGGCCAAGAACCAGAGTATGAAAGAGTCAGCACACAGGGAAGCAGAAACGATGACTCAGCTCTGGGTCATGATTTCCCTCTTCCTTGCCTGAGACATGAGTCATGGCCTGTACGTCTTTAATTTTCTGACTTCTAACTCATCCCAGCAGGGAATGGGAAGCTGATGAAGGAAAGCTCCCTGCAGCATGGGCCGTGGCCCCAGATGGCCCGACTTCAAATTCTGTCTTCCACTTACTAATCGTGGGACCTTAGCAAATCACTGAGCCTGCATTTCCCCGTCTGTGAACTGCAGATGCTAACGCCTATCTTGCTAGGTTCCTCCGCCTAATCAGGATTCACTGAGCACCTACTATGTGCCAGGCAAGGGGATGTGGTAGTAAATAAAACAGACAAAACTCCTGCCCCCATGAAGCTTACATTCCAGGGAGAAAAAACAACAATGAACAAATTTGTGTATGTCACATTGTAACGTATATGTCACATTGTAACATATGACATTGTAATGTCAGCTGGAGACCAGCAGAGGTCTCCAACGGTGAAGAATCCAATGGTGAGGCAGGACAGAGGGTCAAGAAGGTTGATGGAGACAGTTCTATAAACTAGCAGGGGAGGGGCAGAGAGAGGGAGAGAGCATCCCAGGCAGGCTCCACACTGTCAGCACAGTGCAGGGATGGAACTCACAAACTGTGGGATCATGACCTGAGCCGAAGCCAAGAGTCACTCACTCAACTCACTGAGCCATGCAGGCACCCCAGGGTTAATTGCTTTAAAGTGAACAATTCAGGGGCGCCTGGGTGGCTCAGCGGGTTAAGCATAGGACTTCGGCTCAGGCCATGATCTTGTGGTCCATGAGTTCGAGCCCCGTGTCGGGCTCTGTGCTGACAGCTCAGAGCCTGGAGTCTGTTTCCGATCCTGTGTGTCCCTCTCTCTCTGCTCCACCCCCGCTCATGCTCTGGCTCTCTCTCTCTCTCTCTCTCTCTCAAAAATAAATAAACATTAAAAAAATAAAGTGAACAACTCAGTGATGTTTGGTGCATTCACACTCCTGTGCAACCATCACCTGCATCTGCTTCCAAACTATTTTATTTTTTCTTTTTCTTTTTTAAATTTTTAAAAAATGTTTATTTTTGAGAGAGAGACCGAGTGTGAGCGGGGGAGGGGCAGAGAGTGAGGGAGACACAGAATCCGAAGCAGGCTCCAGGCTCCAAGTTGTCAGCACAGAGCCCGACGCGGGGCTTGAACTCAGGAGCTGTGAGATCATGACCTGAGCCGAAGCCGGATGCTCAACTGACTGAGCCACCCAGGCACCCCACCAAGGTATTTTCATCACCCCAAAAGGAAACCCTTAACCCACCAAGCAGTCACCCCTCATTTCCCTGTTCTCCAAACTCCCCCATCCCCTACAACCAAGAGTCTGCTTTCTGACTCCATGTATTATGTATTTCTGGGTTTGAATCCTGAAATATTTTATATTTCATATAGGGGCGCCTGGGTGGCTCAGTCGGTTAAGCGTCTGACTTCGGCTCAGGTCGTGATCTCACAGTCGGTGAGTTCGAGCCCCACGTCGGGCTCTGTGCTGACAGCTCAGAGCCTGGAGCCCACTTGGAGTTCTGTGTCTCTCCTTCTCTCTCTGCTCCTCCCCCGTCCCTGCTTACATTCTCTCTCTCTCTCAAAAGTAAATAAACATTTAAAATAACTAAATATTTCACATAAACGGAAGTACAGAACCAGTGGACCTCTTGTGTCTGGCTTCCCTCACTTATGGTAATGTTCTGGAGCCTCAGTCTGCCTTGTAGCAAGTATCAGACCTTCTTTCCTTTTTATGGCTGAATACTATTCCATCATAGGGATGGACCACATTGCTGATTCCTTCTTCCTCAGGTGAAGGGCCTCCACAAGTGTGACTCTCGAGAGGGGCATCTGGGTGGCTCAGTCGGTTAAGCATTCAACTCTTGATTTCGGCTCAGGTCAAAATCTCCCATTTCGTGAGTTCGAGCCCCACATCAGGCTCTGCGTTGACAGTGTGGAGCCTGCATGGGATTCTCTCTCTCTCTCTCTCTCTCTCTCTCTCTCTCTCTCCCTCCCTCTCCCTCTCTTTCCACCCTTCCCCTGCTCTTGTTCTCTCTCTCTAAATAAATAAACTTAAAAAAATGTTTGACCCTCCAGACTCACGGAGTCTCATCACCGCCCCAGGAGGTGATTCCAGGAAGCTCTGTGAGGTCGTGAAATGAGACAGGGCTCGCAGAAGGACCAGCAGAGGGTTCTCTTGAGGAGCCCAGCAGGTTTGTGCCGTGTGCCGCTGGCGGTCAGCTTAACCGGGGCTGGTGCAGTCACCTGAGGGACCATGCAGGCTACAGGTCAGGGGGCTGGGTGCAGGGCGGAGAGACTGAGGCCTCAACCCCCAACTGCTGTCCACACCTGATGCGTGTAACGTTGGAACTTCAGCTCCCCGCGTTTCCAGGCTGAGCCGGAGCGCGCCCCCACGTGGACAGGAGGGATGCAGGTTCTGCAGGGTGGAAGCAGGGAGAGAACAGGAAACGATCTGGCTGCAGGACAGCCAGGGGAGTGAGGGGATGTGTTGCATCGACACCCTTACGTCCACGGTGATGTGTGATCTGTGCAGGGCAAAGCTTCAAGTGCTTCACAAATAGCCCTTCGCTGACTCTCCATGACAGCCCCACGAGACAAGTGTTGTTATCCCCCCTCTACAGATGGAGAAACTGAGGCGTGGAGGAATGGCGAACAACTCACACAAGATCCTCCCGTAAGTCAATGGCAGAGCAAGATTCAAACCCAGAAAGTCTATGCTGGTCGTGAGCGCTTCACCACCCTTGCCCGCCCATTGTGTTTTCCCTCCTGTCGGGTCTTCCATGTAGATTCAGCCGCCTATTTCCTTCAGGTCTCAGCTTGCGGACCACCTCCTCCAAGAAGCGACCGTGATCACCTCTCCTACTAGTACCTTTGGCAGAGATCTGTTTGTTTTCCTCATAGCACTTAACAGTTTGTAATAATTTTCTCTGTTGCTTTACTTACTTACCATCTGCGACTATAAGCTTCATGAGGACAGGGGCCCATCTGTCTTGTTCACTTTGAATTCCTACTTCGTATCTCAGGGACTGGCTCCATGTAGGAGCTTAATAAATAGTATGTGCCCCCAGGGGCGCCTGGGTGGCGCAGTCGGTTAAGTGTCCGACTTCAGCCAGGTCACGATCTCACGGTCCGTGAGTTCGAGCCCCGCGTCGGGCTCTGGGCTGATGGCTCGGAGCCTGGAGCCTGTTTCCGATTCTGTGTCTCCCTCTCTCTCTGCCCCTCCCCCGTTCATGCTCTGTCTCTCTCTGTCCCAAAAATAAATAAACGTTGGAAGAAAAAAAAAAATAGTATGTGCCCCTGGAGAGTAGTTGAATAATTAAATAAATGAACCCAACATACAAAATATATTGACGTCATGTTTCTATAGGCCTGACATATACACATTGCATTGTTTTCCAAATATTAATTAATGGGGCTTTTGGAATTTCCCTGAGGGGTTGGCCGAGGGTGCTTCCATGTGGAAGATGCAGGACACAAATAGAGCGAAATGATTTATTCTGGGTCACTGATGACTCAATGTCTGGGAATAGAAACACACTCCAAAACCTTTGCTCTAATTAGTCAAGGTAATTATTAGGCACAATAATTAGGCATGAATGACCTCAGCCAGGCTGTTTTGTAACCTCTGGAATTTAAGACCTGTACTAATTTTGCTTTAATGGCAGGATTTGTTGTGGCTTGCCACCCCCACCCCTTCTCTGCTTTTTCTGAGCAAACAAACATTTGTCTCTAAACATAATCTTTTGGGGGCATCTGGCTGGCTGAGTCGGTAGAGCATGTGACTCTTGATCTCAGTCTTGGGGTTTTGAGTTCGAGCCCCACATTGGGTGTGGAGCGTACTTGGAAATAAAACCTTTAGGGGCACCTGGGTGGCTCAGTCGGTTGAGTGAATAACTCTTGATTTAGGCTCAGGTCACGATCCCAGGGTTGTGTGACCGAACCCCATGTCAGGCTCCACGTGGAGCATGGAGTCTGGTTAGGATTCTCTCTCTCTCCCTCTGTCCTTCGCCCACTCGTGCTCTCTCTCTCTAAAAATAAAAATAAAAATAAAATAAAATAAAATAAAATAAAATAAAATAAAATAAAATAAAACTTTAGAAAACACACACACGAACACACCCTTTTCAATGAGATGCTTGGCCTCACCCACTATCACATTCTGGAGTCGTCCCTCAGATTACTGCCCTCTGATACAGCTTTTGCTTTTGTGGGATTCTTTTGGTTTGGGGTTATTGTAAGAGGTGGACTCTGGTCCCTGAGAAACTCCTCTCCTGGCTCCTTCGCTTATTGAAGCGATATTTACTGCGCCCCCTTCTGGGAGCAGAGGTCTATGCACCCCCACAGAGCCAACAGGGAGTAAAACAATTCCCACCCTGGAAAAGAATTCTCGGGGCGTCCCTGGCAGGGTGAGGAGGGTTTACGGCATTTTGGTTTCCTCTTTATCTTACTCTTGGCTCGTCATCGCAGCTAGCATTTCCCATGATCTTCCTCTATATGATGCATGGTGTTATGTGAGTTTACTAGAAACAGTCCTAGAAATAGTCCTATGAAGAATGTTATTACTATTAGTGCTAGGATTACCGCCCCCGTTTTACACATGCACGGGGGCTTAAGTGACTTGCCCAAATTCACACAGTTGGTAGGTAAGTGACAGTGGCAGGACCTGAACCCAGTCTTCAGAATGGGTGCTCTTACCCACTATACCAGGCTCACTATACCAATATTTTGGATTCTCCAGAAAGGTCTCCAAATTATCTGACATTGTACACCCACTTCTTTTTCTGTTTTATTTATTTATTTAGAGGGAGGGGCAGAGAGAGAGGGAGACAGAGAATCCCAAGCAGGCTCCCCCACTGTCAGCATAGAGTCTGACACGGGCCTCGAACTCACAACCTTGAGATCATGACCTGAGCATTACTCAACTGACTGAGCCCCCCAGGTGCCCCTGCTCACCCACTTCTATACTCACAAGACAAACATTTCCGGGGGACCCTCTGGCTGATGGCAAGGCCCCAGTAAGGCAATGAGTAGGGATATGGAGATGAACCAAAGCCAATGCTTGCCTTAGGGTTGGGGCCGTTTGGAGGAAGGACCAGGACTTTGGAGTGGGACCCTGGCCTCAAATCCTGGCTGGGTCAGTAATTAGGGTTGCCAGATTTAGCAAATCAAAGCATAGGTCACACAGTTACATCTGACTTTCAGATAAACAGTGAATAACTTCTTAGTATAAGTATGTTCCATGCGTGTGTTGCATTTCATCTGGCAACCTTACAGGTAATTAATTGCTGTGTGACCTTGGGTCCTTCACTCAATCTCTCTGATCTCAGATTTCCTGCTTTCCCAATGAGGAAACCAATTCCCATTGCACAGGGTTGCTTTCAGAAATAAGAAAGGGTGTGGGGCGCCTGTGTAGCTCAGTTGCATGAACGTCTGACCTTGGCTCAGGTCACGATCTCACGGTTTGTGAGTTTGAGCCCCACGTCGGGCTCTGTGCTGACAGCTCAGTGCCTGGAGTGTGCTTCAGATTTCAGACTCTTTTTGTACCTCTCCCGCTCGTGCTCTCTCTGTATCTCTCAAAAATAAATAAACTTAAAAAAAGAAAGAAGAAAGAGTGACTATATTAAGCACTAGGAATGTGAGGTGCTTCCTAACTGGTCCATTTTCATAGCCCGCTCCAACTTGCCCCGTGCAGGAGCTGGGGTAGATGGGACTTTGAAAACCAGCTCAGTCCACGGCCTACTGAAAACCTTTTGAGGTTCCCAGGGCACCTGGACTGAAGCCCAAAGGCATCTGGATGTACAAGTCCCTTCGCAGCAGGTGGTGTCCAGGGCAGAGACCCTTCTCGGAAACCACCGCAGTGGCTAACCTAGGATTGTATTCTCTCTGCGTCTCCCCAAGTGCTCCAGGCGTGAAGCTCCCAAAGTGAAGGAGGAGCGAAATGCAGGGGATTTCAGGCCTGAGATGTGCAAACAGTCCAGTGGGCTACCACCAGATAGCCCTCCGTTTCTCTCCAGCCTCCTGAATCTTCCCCATCTCGACCACCCCTCCCCAAACGGCTGTTTGCTGCCGAATTGCGATAACCTTCTTGCAGGCTTACTGGCTTCCAGATTAAAACTAACCGTAGCAGAATTTTTAATCTGAAAATTTTATTTATTTATTTATTTATTTTTAATTTTTTTTTTTTTCTAACGTTTATTTATTTTTTTGGGACAGAGAGAGACAGAGCATGAACGGGGGAGGGGCAGAGAGAGAGGGAGACACAGAATCGGAAACAGGCTCTAGGCTCTGAGCCATCAGCCCAGAGCCCGACGCGGGGCTCGAACTCACGGACCGTGAGATCGTGACCTGGCTGAAGTCGGACGCTTAACCGACTGTGCCACCCAGGCGCCCCTAATCTGAAAATTTTAGAGGGAATAAGGGTGCCTGGCTGGCTTAGTGGGTCGAGCATGTGACTCTGGATCTCAGCATCTTGAGGCTGAGCCCCACGTTGGGTATAGAGTTTACTTAAAGAAAAAAACGGGGGCACCTGGGTGGCTGAGTCAGTTGAGTCTGACTTGATTTCAGCTCAAGTCACGATCTCACAGCTGTGAGACCAACCCCCGCGTCGGGCTCTGTGCCGACAGTACAGAGCCTGCTCGGGATTCTCTCTCTTCCTCTCTCTCTCTGTGCCCCTCCCACTCCCTCCTCTCCTCGCTAAAATAAAATTTTAAAAATTTAAAAAAGAAAAAAAAACAAAACAAGTCGAAAGAATAGAAAAATGGACTAGCTCATCAGCTCACGGTCGATGCTGTTTTCCCAAGTCTAGCCAATCCAAGAGATAAAAAAAAAAAAGTCTCTTTTGTGAATCTTGCACATCAAAAGCCTTGGCTTTCAAGATTATCATCTCTGCCATGAGTTTCAAAAGCCCGTGTAGTAACTTGGTGAAAGCAAGAATTTGGCTGTTTGGCCACTTTCTGCTTTCTTTGTTTGAATTGGTTTGGGTCAAGCCTGTCCAAGGGATATGTAATGATTCAGGCCTCAACCTCAGGACTGGGTTTTGTGGGGACAGGGGTCAGAGGGTTTCTTTTATAAAGGGAACATAGCATTGGTGCGTGTGCAAAAAACATGCTAGTCATTGCTATTTTTGTTGTCAGAATAATTTTAGTGAATTTCAATGATTTCTCAGAACACTCACAGATGTGATGGCCACTCCTTTGTTCTTCTTTTGTATTATTATTTTTTACATTTTATTTTAAGTGTATTTATTTTGAGTGAGAGAGAGAGAGAGACAGAAATGAGTGCCAGAGAGGGGCAGAGAGAGAGGGAGACAGAGAATCCCAAGCAAGCTCCACACTGTTACCGCAGAGTCTGGCTCAAGGCTCAAACTCACACACAGCAAGAACATGACCTGAGCCTGAAGCAAGAGTTCGATGCTTAACTGACTACCCAGGCGCCCCTCCCCCCGCCAACCCTGGTTTTTTTTCCCTATGTTTTTAAGCTCTTCAACTACCATTTCTCCTAATTTAAACTCTTGCCAGATCCTAACTCCCAACCCTGGGGTGGTTATTCTCTGCAATGAATAAGTCAGTATCCTAGGTGTTTCTGCAAGAGCACCTTCTCAGGGCTGCACCCATCCAGGCTGGCAAACCAGTGGCTTGGCTGTCACCTGAAGCCCCATGTCATCTGAAAATCTGATGCTCCTGCTTTGCGTTGCATCATCTGATTTCCGGTCATAAGCATTGGCATTCATGTTGAAGTCAGTCACCTGTTTAAAAAAAAGCACGAAGTCCCTTTGCAGCCAAATCCACTGAAATTTCCCAATGTTTTCCAACACCAGAAGTCTCCCAGAATCAGGACTTAGCCAGACAGGATAATTCAGGCCCAGACATGATACACACTGAAGGGGAAGGAAGGATGGTTAGGGGTGAGAGCCACTTACTGAGAATAGAATCGCTGGTGTTTATCCTCAGCTCAGCCAACAACTTCCCTGGTGCCCCCACAGGCCACAGCCAGGGTCTGTTTCCAAACAGCAGTTTTCCTGATGACAAAATCGGAAGAGCCTTGTGTCCTTACAGCTAGAGGCAAGAACCCTTGTGTGTGTTTTTTTTAAAGTGGACCAAATGATCACAATTGGTTGAGATTTTTTTTTTTTAATGTTTATTTATTTTTGAGAGAGAGAGAGAGAGAGAGCTTGCACAAGGGAGGGGCGGAGAGAGACAGGGAGAGAGAGAATCCCTAACAGTCCTGATGTGGACTCAATCCCACCAGCCGTGACATCATAACCTGAGCCAAAATCAAGAGCCAGATGCTCAATCAACTGATCCACCCAGGCACCCTGGGTGATTTTTTTTTTTTTTTTAATAATAAAGTTTTAGAACAGTTTTAAATTTACAGAAAAGTTGTGAAGATAGTGCCAGCAATTCCACACCGTCTGCGTTTCCCGCATGATTTTCCCATATTACAGACACCTTACATTATCATGTATTTGTCACAATTGACCAATGTTTTTATTTATTTTGTGGAATTCTTTTCAATGTTTACTTTTGAGAGAGAAAGCGAGAGACCGTGTGTGAGCAGGGGGAGGGGCAGAGAGAGGGGGACACAGAATCTGAAACAGGCACCAGGCTCTGAGCTGTCAGCACAGAGCCTGACGTGGGGTCCGAACCCACCAACAGCGACACCAGATGCCATTGAACTGCAGGGTTGTCGATTTTAAAGCTAATTTCCTATTTGGGGCACTTAGGTTATTTTCAGTTTTGGGTTCCTACAAATAATTCTGTAATAAGCTAGGTTGGGTTTTCTGCTAACCAAATCGTTGCATACAGATTTGTTTTCTTCACATAAATTTCTAAACATAGAATCGAAGGGTTAGGATGACATATTTGAAATCTTTGGATGCTAACTGCTGAACGCCCTCCGCATTTCCACTCTCACCCTGGACAGCGTATGAAATGCCTATTTCTCTATATCCCCACCAACACCACATATTAAATAGTTGTTTAAAAATCTGTGCAAATTGCTTTGGTGTGTTTTTAAAAAAATTTTTTTAAATGTTTTTATTTATTTGAGCACCTGGGTGGCTCAGTCGGTTAAGAGTCCGACTTCGGCTCAGGTCGTGAAATCGCGGTTTGTGAGTTCGAGCCCTGCATCAGGCTCTGTGCTGACAGCTCGGAGCCTGGATCCTGCTTCAGAATCTGTGTCTCCCTCTCCCTCTGCCCCTTGCCTACTCACACTCTGTTTCTGTCTCTGTCTCTCTCAAAAATAAACAAACATTTAAAAAAAATTTTTAAAGAAATATCATAAACAAAAACAAGTGTTCTGTGGATAGGAACTTCATTGTGCCTCAATTCCTCTTTAAAATAGGAATAAAAATATCAACCTCCTTGAGGAATTATGGGGATCAAATAAGTTAATACAAAGGCGTTATGATAAATATCAACACACGTAGAATCAAAATTAACAACTCAGGAAACAACAGACATTGGTGAGAATGCAGAGGAAAGGGAACACTTTTGTACTGCTGGTGGGAATGCAAACTGGTGTAGCTACTTGGGAAAACAGTGTGAGGTTCCTCAGAAAATTAAAAATAGAACTACCCTAGACCCAGCAATTGCACTACTAGGTATTTATCCAAAGGATACAAAAAAATGCTGATTCGAAGGGGCACATGCACCCCAATGTTTATAGCCAATAGCCAGAGTATCAAAAGAGCCCAAATGCCCATCGACTGATGAATGGATAAAGAAGATGTGGTACAATGGAGTATTACTCGGCAATGAAAAAGAATGAAACCTTGCCATTTGTAAAACGTGGATGGAACTAGAGTATATTATGGTGAGCGAAATAAGTCAAAGAAAGACAAATATCATATGATTTCACTCATATGTGGAATTTAAGAAACACAACAGATGAACACAGAGGAAGGGAAGGAAAAAAACACAGAGGAAGGGAAGGTTAAAAACAGAGAGGGAGGCAAACCATAAGAGACTCTTAAATATAGAGAACAAACTGAGGGTTGCTGGCAGGGTGTTGGGTGGGGGAATGGGCTAAATGGGTGATGGGCATGAAGGAGGTGCTTGTTGGGATAAGCCCCAGGTGTTTTATTGTCGATGAATCACTAATTTCTATTCCTGAAATCATGATTACACTATATGTTAACTAACTTGGATTTAAATAAAATAGGGGCGCCTGGGTGGCTCCATCAGCTAAGCATCCGACTCTTGGTTTCGCAGGCCATGATCTCAGGCTTTCGTGGGTTTGAAACCCACGTGGGGCTCTGCACTGAGCATGAAGCTGCTTGGGATTCTCTCCTCCCCCCACCCCTCCCCTGCTCACACTGTCTCTGTCTCTCTCAAAATAAATAAATTAAAAAGAAACCTAAATAAAATAAAAAAAACCCCACATGTGAAATCTTATGTGTGGCTGGGCGACCTTCTATGAAAATGTTATTATGGATTGCCGCAATATCCAGGTCTTTGTTCTTGGGTGTCAGGAGATAGTGTTAGGCAGGGTCATATGACTGGCTCTGGCCAACAGATTATGATCAGAAGTGATGTGTCACTTCCTATCTGAGGGAGCAAAAAGCCACCGTAAGTAAGACTCTCCAGGCTTTGTCTTCCCCTTCGCGGAGGGTGGAGTCACAAGACAGAAGCTGCCTGCATCCCTGAGTCACTGTGCATCATCCCGTGGAGGGCAGCAGCTGTGATGGATTGTTGCCTGGACCCAGAGCAGGCTCTGCCTGAGCAAGGAATTCACTTCCGTGAGGTTTAGCTGATTCGATCTTCTTGTCATTGTGGTTCAGTCACTGGCAGTAGCCTGACTACTAGAACAGATGTTTGAATGCTCCCAGACAATAACCCACACAGTGCATTTGGAGGATGCAGCGTACCGCCCCTCGAATCCTTCACCCCACCCTGAGCCTGGGCCTCTCCTGTTCTCTTACAAAAGGCTGTTGCTTCAGCTGCTGGGAGAATTCACAGAAACACAGTCTGCCAAACATATTGGTACCATCAGCTCTTAGCACCCCTGGGGTACAGGGGACATGATTCTAATTTTTTTTTCAGTTGAGATCTAACTGGCAATTGACATGTAACACTGTATTAGTTCCAGGTATGCAACATAATGATTCAATATTTGTATATATTGTTAAATGATGACCACAGTAAATTTAGTTAACATCCATCACCGCACAGCTTTACAGACCCTTTCTCCTTGTGAGTAGAACTTGTAAGATTTACTGTTTCAACAACTTTCCAATGTACGACACGGTATTATTAACTCTAGTCTCCATGCTATACAAGTGCTGTATTTTTTAAGAAGGAAAGAAAATGTCCTTGTGATTTTGGGATTGTGGTCTGCCAGCGCCATGGTTAACCCACCCCCGTTTAGGAAGAGCTAGGGAAGATGCACGTATTTGCACCTGTTCCTTGTGCTGGGCAGCCTCTGAGGGGGTCCCCAAAGATCCACACCTCCTGGTATTCATGCCCTTGTGTAATTCCCTTCCCCATGGTGTGGGCTGAACTCACTGACTTGCCTCCAGTGAATAGAATACAGCTGAAGTGATGGATGTCACCTCCAAGGGTAGGTTATAAAAAACTGTCATTTCTGTCTTGGGCACCTCCTTTCTTTTCCTCTGCTGAAAAGAATCCAGCTGCCAGGTCCTCAGCAGCCCCGTAGAGGCTTAATTAACATAACTATCACCCAAACTGTTTCCTTTCCCAAAGGAGATTACAATAGAATCTTCTTGTAATCCCTCCTTCTGGTCCTTCCCTGTCCTCCCCCACATCCCCAGGCACCTTTCATCTGTTTTCTGTGGCTATAGATTAGTTTGCATTTTCTATAAAGGGAATGAATCATAAGGCACACACCTTTTTTTTTGGGGGGGGGTCTGGTTTCCTCTACTTAGCATAGTTATTCGGAGATTCACCCGTGTTGTACTGTGGACCGAGAGTTCATTTCTTCTCACTGCTGCATAGCAGCAGTGTATGGATGCACTATGGTCTGTTTATCTTTCCACCTGTTGGACATTCAGGTTCCTTCCAGTTTCTGCCTATTGCAGAGAAACACAGGGGGGTGCCTGGGTGGCTCAATTGGTTAAGCATCTGATTTCAGATCAGGTCATGATCTCACACTTCATGAGTTCAAGCCCCGCTTCCGGCTTGCTGCTTTCAGTACAGAGCTTGCTTCAGATCCTGTGTCTCTGGCTCTCTCTGGCCCTCCCTCACCCAAATAAATAAATACTAAACAAAAAAAATATTTTAAAGAAGAGCATGTAAGTGCGGATATAGGCTTTCTTTTCTCTTTGGTAAATACCTAGGAGTATTGGTGGAAATGGTAGAGTATTATCGTGAGTGTATGTTGAATTTTATTTTATTTTGTGAAGTTTATTTTTATTATTTTTTATGTTTATTTTTATTTTTGAGAGACAGAGTACCAGCGGGGGAGGGGCAGAGAGAGAGGGAGACACAGAATTGGAAACAGGCTCCGGGCTCTGAGCTGTCAGCAAAGACCCCAACATTGGGGCTCAAACTCAGGGAGTGTGAGATCATGATCTGAACTGAAGTCGGACTCTTAACTGACTGAGCCACCCAGGTTCCCCTATGTTTTTATTTTTAAAGTAATCTCCACACAGTTGGATATTACCTATGTCTCTAAACTCACAATCCCAAGATCGAGAGTAAGATTCCCTACCAACTGAGGCAGCCAGGCATCCTGTATACTGAATTAACATTTTTTTTTTAAAGTTTATTCACTTATTTTGAGAGAGAGAGAGACTACGGGAGGGGCAGAGATAGAGGAAGAGAGGATCCCAAGCAGGCTCTGCACCATCAGCATGGATCCTGATGGGCTCAAACTCATCAACCATGAGATCATGACCTAAGCCTAAACTAAGTGTCAGGTTCTTTTTTTTTTTTTATTTTTTTTTTAACGTTTATTTATTTTTGAGACAGAGAGACAGAGCATGAACAGGGGAGGGGGGGAGACACAGAATCTGAAACAGGCTCCAGGCTCTGAGCTGTCAGCACAGAGCCCGACGCGGGGCTTGAACTCACGGACCATGAGATCATGACCTGAGCCAAAGTCGGACGCTTAACCGACCAAGCCACCCAGGCGCCCCCTAAGTGTCAGGTTCTTAATGGGCTGAGTCATTCAGGCACCCCCTGTATGTTGAATTTTAAAAGAAACTCTTGGCTTATTTTTCAAAGTGATTGTACCACTCTACAGTCCCACAAACTACTCTGTACGATGTTTAACCATTCTGGAACTAACCAGTAAACACCAGAAGTCCCAGTGTCTGTGACAGCCATCTCCCACCACCCCCCATTCCAAATGCTTCCCAGAATGGGGCGATACCCCCACCTCTGCTAGACCAGAGGCATTCTTGTTCCAGTGGTAGGAACCCCCATTTATGAACCATGGAAGAAAGCTTGTGAACCCATATTTCTTTTTTTACTTCTTTTTATTTTTTTATTTTTTTATTTTAAGAAAGAGAGAGTGCACATGAGCAAGGGAGAAGGGGCAGAGGGAGAGAGAGAGAGAATCCTAAGCAGCTTCCATGCTGCGCGGTGCAGATGAATCCTGACATGGGGCTTGATCCCACAGCTCTGGGATCATGACCTGAGCTGAAATCTAGAACCGGAGGCTCAACCAACTGAGCCACCCAGGTGCCCCTGTGAACCCGTATTTCTGAACTGAGTTCATGGTAGCCAATGTACAAGACGGTAAGAAGAGCAGGAGGTAGCGACTAGTGGTACATCTTGGCTTGGCTTTGCATTTTGTGGTTCTTTGGTTTCTGAAAAGACCAAACTGCTCTTTATTTAGAAAACCACGGTTTACATGTAGTGGAGAAACACCCCGTGGTGGTTGGAACTTACAGTCAGGACCCATTTGCTTTCTATTCTTAACTTTGCCTCTGGCCCTGGAGCCTCCCAGAGCCTCCCTGGGGTAAAAATAAGTGGTGTTTGGTAATCTTGGGCTGAAAGGTGGTACTTAAGTCAAAAGTACACCTGAACTCAGCTAATTTTCTCTAATCACCTGTACCAGCCAAGGATCAAGGATCAGCAGGTGCGGGGGGGGGGGGGCTGGGGGGGGGGCCATGATTATGATACAACCACAACCACGCACTGCAGGACGGCACGGAACAGTGTTGTGATTCCGAAAACCTTCATCCCTGGACCTTATCAAGCTGGAGTGTGCATCAGAATCCCCAGGAGGGCTTGTTAAAGCACAGACTGCCTGGTCCCACCCCAGAGATTCTGATTTCAGGTGTCTGGAGAGGTGCCTGAGAATTGTCATTTCTTTCTTCCCTTCCTTCCTTTCTTTCAGTATGCTCCACGTGGAGCCCAAAGTGGGGCTTGAACTCACAACCCTGAGATCAAAACCTGAGCTGAGATCAAGAGTCAGATGCTTAACTGATTCCTACCCCCCCTTTCTAAAAAATTAAAAAATATTTTTTAGGGGCGCCTGGGTGGCTCAGTTAAGTGTCCAACTTTGGCTCAGATCATGACCTCGCAGTTCGTGAATTTGAGCCCCACATCGAACTTTCTGCTGTCACTGCCCACTTGGGATCCTCTGTCTCCCTTTCTCTCTGCCCTTCCCCAGCTCTCATGCACACTCTTTCTCAAAAATGAAAACAAATTTAAAAATTTTTTATTTATTAAATCTTTTTATATTAATTAATTATAGTTTTTATTTTAGAGAATCTTCGTTTGTAGTAAGTTCCCAGTTGGCACACCTGCTACTGATCATGGGGCCACTCTCTGAGATGCACTTCCTTCCTGGAGGTCTTTGCTAAGGTCAAGTCCAGCTGAGTCAGTGACCTTCAGCTGGGGTGATTTTGACCACCAGGGGGCGAGACTTGGAGACATTTCTGGTTGCCACAGCTGGTGTGCAGTGGGCATTGCTACTGGCATCTAGTGGGTAAAAGCCACGTCTCAAAGCATGAGACAGCCCCCCACAGGAGTTATTCGACCCAGAATATCAACAGTGCTGAGGCTGAGAAACTCTGAACTGCCGAGGAAAGCATAAATACATCAGTAAATAATACGCAGCCATTAGGAAGAATGCCCTTTAGACCTTTTATTTCTTTTTTTCTTAGGCATTTTTAAAAATGTTTATTTATGTATTTTTAAGAGAGAGAGAGGGAGTATGAGCAGGGGAGGACAAAGAGAGGGAGGCAGAGAATCCCAAGCAGGCTCCACTCTGTCAGCACAGAGCCCGACTTGGGGCTTAAACTCATGAACCAGTGAGTCGGATGCTTAACTGACTGAGCAAGCCAGGTGTCCCATTTTCTTAGACCTTTTTGAAACTTGAGGAATTGTTTGTGATGGGGGGCAGGGGAGAAAAGGAATACGTTCAACATTATCAGTGGTTTCATTAATTTTCTTTATACTTTATCACTTCCTAGAAGTTTCTTGTTTCTGTGTTTATTTATATGGCATCCGTCTCCATTTAAAAGGACCTAATCTAGTACACTTTAGGAGAATGTTAACTAGTCAGTGGATACGTGGCTGGGGAAACCCAATGTCTTATAAGTCAAATCAATGGCGAGTTGATGGGTTCTTAACAACTGACTCCCTGAAAAGAAAAGCTCTGGTTTGCGGTATTTGCTGATTTTCATGCTGTAAACATCCCCCCCTCCCCCCCCCCCCCCCCGTGGCTGATTTCAAGCCACCTCATGATGTCACCGGAGAAGCAGTTGGGTAGATGAGCACAACTGGCTGGCCAAGCCCATAGGATCCAGGGGCCCTGCTGTTAATTATGGAAATAATTATGTTAATATAAAAGACTTGAAAAATATATACATTTTTTAATGTTTATTTTTGAGAGAGAAAGAGAGAACGAGTGGGGGAGGGACAGAGAGAGAGAGGGAGATACAAATCTGAAGCAGGCTCCAGGCTCCGAGCTGTCAGCACACAGCCCAACGCAGGGCTCGAACCCACGAACCGTGAGATCATGACCTGAGCTGAAGTCGCAGAATGCTCAACTGACAAAGCCATCCAAGAGCCCCAAGACTGGAAAAAAGTATTAAAAGACTGGAAGGAAAAATGGCAAAAGGCTAATAGTAGTACACTGGGATTATGCAAACATTAGAAACTATGAAGCTTCAGCTTAATACGAAATGAATTTGAGAGCAGGGGTGGGGGGCGGGGGGCGGGTAGGGGAACAGAGGTGGCTCCTAGGCTGGGTTATGTCCTGGGTTATGGAGGAATAGAATCACCTAGCCATGCAATCGACAGAATGGGAAAAGATATTTGCAAATGACCTATCGGATAAAGGGCTAGCATCCAAAATCTATAAAGAACTCACAAACTCCACACTCCCAAAATAAATAATCCAGTGAAAAAATGGGCAGTGGACATGAATAGACACTTTTCCAAAGAAGACATCCGGATGGCCAACAGGCACATGAAAAGATGCTCAATGTCACTCCTCGTCAGGGAAACACAAGTCAAAACCACACTCAGATACCACCTCACACCAGTCAGAGTGGCTAAAATGAACAAATCAGGAGACTATAGGTGTTGGCAAGGATGCGAAGAAATGGGAACCCTCTTGCACTGCTGGTGGGAATGCGAACTGGTGCAGCCGCCCTGGAAAAGTGTGGAGGTTCCTCAAAAAATTAAGAATACAATTATCCTACGACCAAGCAATAGTGCTA